GTCCCCGTGCCGTGCCCCGTCCATCGCGCGCCCGACCGCGTGCCCAGTCTGCGGCCCCCGCCGCGTCCAGGGCGAGGCCTTTTCCCACCCTGGCTTCCCGCCGTTCGGGCCGCGCGCCGCGTTGGCTCCTACCTCGGGGGGCTTGCGCCCCCGTCCGCGCTCCGCAGGGTGCCTCATGGCCGCTTGGCGCTTCCGCCGCTCTGCGTGGGTGGGTGCGCCAGTTGTTTCCGGTCCTCGCTGCGGCGCGTGGCGGTCGCGTTCTATGTGTCGCCGCGCTCGGTCTCTACTTCGGCGCCGCCTCTCTGGGCATCGCACTTTCTGTGTGGTGTTGGCCGTCCCGCCCGCTCGCTTCTCGCAGTGCTTCCCCAGGCGCGGCTCTCGCTTTGGTGTGTCTGCCTGTTGGCTTGTGCTCGTTGCTTTTCCTCTCGCCTATGCCGTGTCGGGTGCGGTGCGCATCAATTTCGCCCTGCGTTCACTGTTGTCTGCTCCTCTGCCTTCGCTGCCCATGCCTGGGTATGCGCGTGGCATGGTTGATCCTCGTGGTTCCCTGCCCCATCTTCTGGGGGGGCGGCCGCGCGATCCCAGTTCACTCTCTGACCGATTTTCTCCGCTTCGTCGCTGCGCGCGAATCCGCGACGGCCAAAGGTAAGTGTGTGTGTGTGTGTGAGAGGGAGAGAGAGAATGTGTGTGTGTGTGTGTGTGTGCACTGCCCGCTCGCCGTCTGATCCCTGGCCGCCGCTAAATCAGACAACTGCGTGTGTGTGTGTGTGTGTGTGTGTGTGCGTATGTGTCTGTGTGTGGTCACCTTGAGTCGATCTCGTCCTGGCGTGCTCCTCCGTTTCTGGCCGTTGTACGTTCGTTGGGATGCAGCCATCTATCTTCGCACGTCAGTGATTGACGCTTCTTTCGCTGCGTTTTGGACTGTGCTCGATCGCCAGTAGCACCGCCATCTGGTGCTCGCGCTCAAAGACCTCTGCGCCGCTGACTTCAAAAACGCGTGTTTATGTGGCCCGGACTGTGTTCGCTCGTGATGCGCGTTGCCAAGGGTGAGGAGGATGAGTCTGCGTTCGGGATCATGATGGCGGTGGTGATGTCGGTTGTGGTGGCGGCCAGGATGATTGTTCTGACGGTGATGAAAACACCGGGGCGGATGATGGTGATGATAACATGTGTGATGGTGGTGGTTATGTTGCTGACGACGGCAACAAGTGTGATGACGAACGGGAAAAATTTGAGGGTGAGGGGGAGGATGAATATGTGAGAGGAGGACAGGGAGGAGGAACGGGGAGGAGGGTTGGAACTACAAGTAGGGGTCAACCATCGCGCGGTGTCGTCCCAGCCCTTGCCAAAATATTGCGCCAGGCCGGCCTTGGTTTCAGGGTGCCAGTCAAGGCAAAGACCGCACCACCAACGCTACGAAACCAGAGATGGTGTGCCGCGATTTTTATTGATCATCGTTGGTTTTGTTCCGTACGGTGGACCAGTCGTTTCGGTGTGCACGGTGCCGCTTGGCATTGGCGTGGGATCCGATCACAGACGGATCCGTTTGCAGCTAACATCCCCTTTCGCTCGCCCGCGCAGGCGGAATGGCAAGAAAGACCCGGCGTGGCAACCCAAAACATCATATGTTTCGTTTCTGGACGCGCGCCTGCAATCTGTAACATAGCGCGACATGACTGCCGCCGGCAAGGTCAATCTGTTGAACAGGTGCATGACGGAGGCAGGGCGGAACGACCAGGCGTGCAAAGACGCCAATCCGGAGACAGCGTCAGAAATCGATTCGGACGAAAAGCTGCGCATGATGATCGATATGCGGAGGAATCTTCAGACGGCGGACCTGCCGGCAGCAGACAAAATCTCCCCAGAACACAGTGGAGTAACAAACATTAGAAATGCGATCCGCGGTCGCCGGATCAACCCAAGAATGGCCGAGTGTGAGTAGATTTTTGGGGGTTCTGCGGTTTCAGTCACTTGATTGAATATATGACAGGTAATAGGCCGAAGCGCCACATCGCCGAAATGAAGGACAAGGAGGGGCATGTTCACAACGACCGGATTTCGATCGCCGAAGTGTTCGCAGAGTTCCGCGAGGACCTGTGCGCGACCACCAGGGGCAACAACAGGCCAGATCTGTGCTCGCCCAGAAGGGCTGAGACCGTGCCTCCGTTCACGACGAAAGAGTTGGGAGCTGCTATCCAGCCGATGAACATGGCAAATCAGGCGACGACCACGGCGTCAAAGCAGAGTTCTTCAAAGTCGACTGTTCAACGCTGGGGAGTTTAGTAAGGTTGGAAGCGTTCAACGCGATTCTTGCTTTTGGCGGGCAACTGTTGGACGGGTGCCTGGCTACCCGCATCATCGTATTTGACACGAAGGGGAACGCTTCCGTGCCCTGCAGTTATTGGCCAATCGCAAGTTTAACGATATTGTGCACGCTGATCAGTTAGCTCCAACGTGGAGGCGCTCCGTGGTTCGATAGTTGGTGAGCAGTAAGTTAACCAAACCGCGTACAGGAAGGGTTGCAGCACCGTGGGCCATGTGATACTTATGACTGTGATTACAGAGGCTTACAACTAGTACGCCGTGGATTTGTGGATTTGTATTGTCGGTTTCGAAAAAGGTGTTCGACACGGTAGAGCACGATGCAGTTTGGGCAGCCCTGGCAGACCAGGAAGTCCTGAGCGATTCCATGCATGTGCTGAAGGGCCTCTACGCAAAGTAGACAACCAATGTTCTCTCTGGTGAGAGAAGCAAGCCTTCGATATTGCGCGGGTCGTGAACATGGGGGGGCCGATCAGTTCCTTTCCTTTTGTCGTCGTCATGGAAGCTTTATTTCGGAAGTTGAAGTCACGCTGGAACAAGCTGGGTAGCAAGCCCATCGGAAAGCATGTCGGTTTAGTGGTAGATGGCCCCCAAGATCCCTTGACAAACTTGCGCTCCGCCGATGATGTGCTCGGTCTATTTGGGTGCATGAGGGACGTCTGAATAATGGTTTCATACTTGGAGCCAGAGGCTGAGAAGTGCGGCCTGGAGGTCCATATGGGCAAGACAGTGGTATTGACCAGTGCATTTGTTCGGCCGCCACATCTGAAGTGCGGCGCGCACAGTGTGAGAGTGCTCGAGCAGGGCGAGCCCGACAAAAAACGCCCCCGGAACATAATTTGAGGACATGCTTTCCTCTGGATGGGATGCGTTCCGCACCTTGATGGGGTGCGTTTCAGATCCACGAGCGTCTGATATTGTTCAGGGCATGCGTGGCGCTATGCGTTCTGTATGCTTTAAGCACCCAGACGCTCACGGTGGCCCGGGAACGACAGTTTCGGTCCACGCAGCGTCGGATGTTGAAACATCTGGTGAGCGTGCGACGGTTACCAAACGAAAATTGGGTTGAGTACGTTGGCGTGCCACGTGCGCCAGCACGCAGCTTGCTGAGCGGAGCGGGGTGGGCGAATGGGCGTCCATGTTCTGGAAAAAAAGTGGAAGCTAGGAGACAAGGTATCTTCGCCCTCCGACCGCAGATGGAGCGCGAGACTTGTTGATTGAGTGCTTTGGTTTCGAGTGAACGCAAGGAGAAGCGTAGGCCGCTGGCAGGAAAAGAGTGGTGGACAGTCGTGCATTTTCTTGAGTTTATATATATATATGTATATATTTATATATATATATATATATATATATATATATGTATTACATTCTCTTGCTGCCGCTGCAGTTGCTGCTGTGCTGCCGTTTCCGCTTGCCGTTTGCTTCTTCCTGCCGTTGCTGATGCTGGCTGCGCTCTCGGCCGGGCGCCTGACGCTCGATGTCTGTCACACCGTGCTGCGGCAGATGCATAACCCCGCACCGTTGTTTCACCTTCTCACACTTCGCCACTCATGTCAGCCCGGCGTTTTGCTGGGGCAGGCGGAGTGCCCGCCTCCCCACGGGCCGCACCGTTCGCGCCGCCTCCGTACGATGGTGAGGAGGCAGTGGATGGGAGGTCCTCCTGTTCCTTTCTTTTCCCTTTCTTTTCCCCCCTCATCTCCCGGCTCCTGGCTCTCCCCTCCTCTTTCCATCACTCCTTCCCCTCTCCCTCCGATGCTCCCCTCGCCTCTCCTTCGCGCTCCCCCTCGTCACTTTCTCCCTGTCCACCTTCCCCCCTCCAGTCTCCCTCCCCCCTATTCCCATTCGCCCTTTTCCGCTCTTCCTTCCCCCCCGCAGCCTCCCATTCCCCTCTCCCCCTTCCGCATCCCCGCTGCCCTCGCTCCCTCCCCGTTCCACTTCCCCCGCCTCCCCCTCTTCCTCAATCCCGCCGTCGCCTGCCGCTGATGGCGGCTTCGACTCCAGGCCTGGCGCCAGCGCCCTGTGTCGCCCCCATTTCCCACTCCCCTCTCCTCCTCACCTCTCTTCCCCTCTTCCGCTTCCCTGCTCACTTTCCTTCTCCCTCGCCCATCCCCTATTCCAAAATCTCCGTTGCCCTTTTCCCTCCCCCTATCCCCATTCCCTGGTGCCCCCCACCCCCCATTCACAGCACTTTGCCTCCCCCGTCTTTCCCTCCCGTCTCCCCTCCCCGCTGGCCTCCCCCATTCCCCCTCCCCACCTTCTCGCCTTCTACCCTCTCCATTTCCCCCCCCTGCCCACCTATCTGCATTCCCACCCTCTCCCCCAGCAGTTGCTCAATCAGAGTGCTACCCTATTCGCATCTGTTCGCGCCCCCTGGTGCTGTGCTTGTTCACGCTTCTTACACGCGGGATTTTCCTTGCTTGGTTTTCGATGCTTTTTCCTATCGTGGCGCTCGTGGCTGTTCAAAAGTTGTGCTCCCAATGCAGCGTCTGCAGAATTTCATAACCCCCAGGGGACCTCACAGAACGGCGCCCTCGCCGCAGCGGTGGGCGTACACGTGCATGTGCGAAGCTCATCCGAGATTCTCCGCCCCGCGCAGCCCTCCACCCGCCTGTGCCGCCCCTCTCGGCCGGGGGCCCCGCGGCATCATCTCCTCCCCGCCCTGGGGGCTGTCGCCCGAGGCCTGGGAGGTGAACGCCATCACGCACAAGGTTCCAAGGGGGGCAGAGGGGGCATGGGGAGGGAGGCTGCAGGAGCCTCCGTTCCTGCAACCCCGCCTTGTGTTGGGAGAGTGAGCGCCACGATCTCATGCCGACCGTTCTCCTCCGGGGCCAGACCGGCTCCCAGCTCGCCCAGCAACTCTTCTGGACGTGGAGGGCTGCCGAGAAGTTGTCAGACATAAGCGGGCGGCCCCGGGAGAGCAGGCCCCCCCACATCTGGGACTCAGACCTTCCTCGTCGTCCTCGATTTCGGCATCTGGGGGCTGTCTCCTGCCCAGGGCCATCAGAAATGGGACCGGGACGAAGGACTGTCCCTGGGCAAGGGGTCGGGATTTCATGGCCCGCCGTTTCAGCAAATCAGATCGTTGGATGTTTGGGTTCGAGCATCGAGATTCGAGGATCGAGGTTTTCGGAAGTCTTTGAGTGTTTCTGGCCCTGCTTGGTCTACGGAGGCCAATCGAGGCCTCCAGTGGCCTCCGGAGACCGTCGCGGACCCGCGGAGTCCTCCCAGCGACCTTCTGGAGTGCTTCCAGAGACCGCCGGAGACCTCCGAGGAGCAACAGGAGGAGAGGAGGTGGAGGAGGAGGACGCGGAGCATGTGGGAAGGAGGGAGGGGGGAGGGAACGAGGAGGGACAGAAGGAGGATGGGGTGGAGGGAGCGGGGGTGGAGGAGCGAGGAGAAGCGAGGCTACAGGATGGGAAGGGAGTGGTAGAGGAAGAAGGGATGGGATGAGGACGGGCGACGACGACGAGGACGAGGACGATGACAAGGACGAGGACGAGGACGAGGACGACGACGAGGACGACGACGAGGACGACGACGATGGTGATGGTGATGGTGATGGTGATGATGCTGCTGATGATGATCCTGATGAGTATGGTGATGCTGATGATTATGTGAGGGAGACGATGGTGATGGTCATGATGATGATGACGATGATTATGATGACGATGATGATCAAGATGATGATGCCAGTGCTGATGATGATGATGCTGTTGGTTTTGGTGGTGGTGATGATGATGATGATGATGATGGCAGCTTTGCTCATGATGATGATTATGGTGGTGGTTGCGATACTGATGGTGATGATGCTGATGATGATGACGATTATGGTGATGATAATAATACTAATGATGATGATTGGCGATTGATGATGATGCTGCTGATGATGATGATGATGATGATGGTGGTGGTTATAGTGATTGTGATGATGTTGCTGATAATGGTGCTGCTGATGATTTTGATGGTGATGGTGATGATTCTTGCGATGATGATGATGCTGATGATGATGATGATGGGGATGATGAAGCTGATGATGATGCTGATGATGACGACGATGATGATGATGATGATGATGATGATCATGAAGATGATGAACAAGATGAATATCATGATGATGACGACTGTGATGATGATGATGATGATGATGATGATGATGATGATGATGATGATGATGATGATGACGGAGGTTGTGGTGGTAGTGGTGATGATGATGAAGGTCATGATGATGATGATGATGGTGATGATGATGTTGATGACGATGACGATGACGATGACTATGACTATGACGATGATGACGGAAATTAATGATGCTGATTACGATGATGATGATGATTATGATGATGATGATGATGATGATGATGATGATGATGGTGGTGGTGGTGGTGGTGGTGATGATGATGATGATGCTGACGATGATGATGATGATGCTGATGATGATGATGATTATGATGCTGCTGTTGATGATGATGATGACGCTGCTTCTGCCGCTGATGATGATGTTGATGCTGATTCTGATGCTGCTGCTGATGATGACGACGTCGATGATGATGCTGACGATGGCTGATGATGCTGATAACGATGATGATGATGATGATGATGATGATGATGATGATGATGATGATGAAGATGATGATGCTGATACTGGTGATGATGACGATGATGATGATGCTGATGATGATGATGATGATGATGATGATGATGATGATGATGATGCTGATGCTGATGCTGATGATGATGATGATGATGATGATGATGATGATGATGATGCTGATGATGATGATGATGATGATGATAATGATGATGCTAACGATTATGATGATGATGCGTATGAGCGTGAGCATGAGCACGATTCTAAGTACGAATATGAGTACGAGTATGAGTATGATTAGAATTATGAGTACGCGCATGAGTTTGATTATGAGTGTGATGATGATGGTGATGATAATGCTGATGATGATGCTGCCTCTGATGATGATCATTATGATGATGCAGATGTTGATGCTGATGATGCTGCTGATTCTGATGCTGATGATGACGACGATGATGATGCTGATGATGGTGGTGATGATGATGATGATGATGCTGAGTATGAGTGTGAGTATTAGTATGAGTATGAGTGGTAGTATGAGTAGGAGTAGGAGCAGGACTCGGACTATGAATATGAAAATGACTATGAATATGATTCTGAAGATGGTGATGGTGATGGTGATAATGTTGATTACGATGCTGATGATGATTGTGATGATGACGATGATGATGCTGATGATGATTATGATGATACTGATGATTATGATGACGATGATGCTGCTGCTGCTGCTGCTGATGATGATGATGATGATGATGATGATGATGATGATGATGATGATGATGCTAATGCCGATTTTTGGGGCGGTGACGTTCATATGGGAACTGCCGAGAAGGTGTCAGACCTAAAAGGGCGGCCTTCAGACCAAGAAGGTGTCAGACCTAAGCGCTAGAGCATGCCCCTTTCATCGCACCACTTCCTGCTGCAGTCGCGCATCCGCGCGACGGTGGAGACGCAAAAACGGGGCTGCCAGGGCAGACGCCTCGCAGCTGAAACACGTTTCAGGCAGCTTTATACATCAGCTTACCGATGCACTGGTGGAGTTTGCCGCCGCGAGGCCAAACCACAACGACGTTAGATTACCGTGGTGCCAACTGACAGACGGATTCCTCTGTGCCTCGGAGTGCGCCCTCCCGCGGCAGACCAGACGCCCGAGGAAACCGTGGACGCGGCATCGAACCTTTGAGGTCATAGAACGTCGTGCGGCAGCCAGACAGAGGACTGACATGACAGAGGAGAATATCTTGGCGGAAGAGATCAGACAAATCATTCGCGAGCGAGATTGCCGCCTGACTGCAGGAATTGACAGCGAAAAGGAGAAGTTGGGGCGATATCAGGAAGCTTCGGAAAGGGTTCTGCCCGCAGCAAGGCGCGCGGCCCAGCTCGTGGACAGCGACGGCCGGGCCGATGCTTTGGCGGCTCATTTAGACAGGGTGCAGTGGGCAGTGCGCCCTATGTCAGCAATGCCCATGGATGATTTGCACGAGAATGGGATACCGATTGTCCTCGACGCCATCACAGAGGCAAAAGTAAGCAAGGCAGCGAGCAAACTGAGGCAAGGCAGAACTGGGGACATGGACGACACACCGCCGGACTTTTGCGAACAGCATGCGAGGATGGCGCGCCGAAGTGCGAATGGATCACTCGTATCTGCAATCTGGAGACGAGTGGCGTGTCAGCTGCATGGCAGAAGTCGAAGGTGGGAATGATTTACAGGATGGCCGATCCCGCGGATTGCAAGAGCTATCGCCCGGTGTGCCTCCTCCTGCGTGAAGGATGCCGGCGCGGAGCAGCGCGCGTTGAAGACGCAGCTTGTATCTTGATCTGACGGTGGCACGGGTGACGCAGGATTCATTGCCGGGCGGTTTCTTGAAGCCAAGTGGACTGCTCGTGATGGCAAGACTGTCTTCTTGGCGTTGGATAGGGCGAAGGCTTTGGACTCCGCGTCGCGCGAGGCGCTGGCAAATTCTCTGCGGAGGATTGGCTGCCCAGATCGGTTCGCGAACATGGTCGCTGCCATCTATTGTTCAAAGCTCGCCTTCGTGGTCGACGACTTCGGCGCCGCGCTGTAGGGAATGGCGCAGGGGTGCGGCGTCTGCCAGGGGTACCCGCTGTCGCCGTTCCTGTTCGCAGTTGTGATGATGGCGTTCCTACGTGGTGCCCGCGAGGAGCTGCGGGGGCGACGCGGTGGATTTGCGCTGGAGGCGCAGGTCCAGGATTCGGCGTCTGCGGGCGACGCCTTGCTCGCGGGCGCCGACGCGGGTGCAGCGCAGGAGCTGGTGGCGCGCGTCGAGAAGTTCGGGGCAAAATGCGGCCTGCTCTTCAAGTGGGGGAAGTGGAGCTTGTGAAGGGGCTCGCGGAGGGTGGCGCCGTGGATAGCGCTGGCGCGCAGATCGTGAACGAGATGGGATGCCCTTCGCCCGCCCGGGCGCGGCGCCGTCCGCCGACGGGGGATGCGCGTCTGAGCTGAGCCGCAGCTTTGGAGCAGCCCGACAATGCGTCAACATGTTGCGCGCGTTTCGGACGCGTGCTTCTTTGACATGGTACCAGAGAGTGCCTATTTTCAACGTGTGCTGGTGCCCAAATGGTCTGCGCTTCGCGGATCCTCGTCGGCCCATTCAGGGGCCCTGCCCGCGAGAGCTGGCGGGGAATGGAAGGCAGAGGCGCATGCAGTGAAACAGAGCGGTCCGAAGGAGGGGGGCCGCGTCGAGCCATCTGCCGCCGCCTCCAGGCGAAGGAGGAGGTAGGGGAGGAGGTCCTGGTCCACCGCGACATCCCGACCATGGCGCGGCAGACAGTTTCGTGGATCTGTCCGGCTCCTCAGTTTCTACAGAAAGCCCGCGAACGAGTTCGCCGCCGCTGCCGAGCCCGGCAAATGATATGCCGAACCTAACAGGTCCGCCTGTGCCCTGCCAGCGCAACTTCGGCAACGTCGAGCCGAGTGCCGCCGACAAGAAGGCGCGCGCGTGCAATGCGTGGCTAGCGAAGAAGCAGGGTGGCGAGTTCACCGCGAGTGGGGGAGCCACCAGCAGCGGAGGAGCCAGCGGCTCGGCGCCGCCACCTTCGGGAGGAGACCTTCGACTTCAACTCGTGCCAGTTCAGCCCTCGCCACCGGGTCAAACT